TAGAGAATATTTTTTTTAATTTTCAATTTTTCATATAAAGTGAACTGTACAGAAGGTTTTTCTCAATTATAGCTGTTGATATAAAATAAATGAATGCATATATAAGTTTATATGTTTGTAAGATATAAATAAATGTACATTTTAGATATAAATACTGAAAAGATACAAACCATGTTGTAGTGTAGTTCGAGATTAGGAGAAAATGTTTCACTTTATGTTTAATTTCATACCTAATATTTATAAGACTTTTTCCCATATTCTTTTTTGCTGGGACAAAATAAAAATACACTAGAAAGTGATAAAATAGCAAATCTATAAATAAAACATTTCCTAATTTGTTAAATTTTGAATTATAGGCAAAAATGACTGAAAAATACTGATACAAATGTTACTTAATCCCTGTAGTTGTACTGGCTGGCATATTTTTTAGTTGAAGAAAATAGTACATGAAGGCTATTTAAGTTGCTGTATGGTGAATATCTTTTGACTTTCATAATTTTTCTTTCATGTAAGTGGATTTCCTTTGTTCTTGTGTTTCTGTTTTGTTGCATTATTGATGCTTTATTTATAGCCTTTAATTGTGTTTGTTATAGGCACCTATTGCTGTCAATTTCCTTGTTGGTAATGCCTTTGCTGTATCCTTTTTATTTTGATGTATTTTCAATTTTGTCTATTTCAAGATCTTTTTGCCTTTATTTCCCTTTGGATCTTTCTCTCATCTCTGCTGTTGAGGTGAGTATTGTGGGCATCACATTGTTAGCTATATGTTTACAATCTACTCAGCCAGCCTGTCCTTTCATTGGGGAATGTAATCAGTTGCATTCAAGTAAGGTCATGCTGTCACTGTGTTCAGCTTTTACTAGACATTTGGTTTATCCTTTGTCCTTTCTTCTCTGATTGTTCATCATTGTGGCTTGATGTAATAACAGTTTTTCTTCTTTTCTGTTGTATTTCTGCCCTTCTGAGTTCTGCTTCCTGGGGTGACTTAATGGCAGTTGGCCTTTCACTTTTAGTGTGGGGTTCCCCATAAACAGTAGAACCAGTCTGGAGGTAATACATTCCTCCAATTTTGCCTGCTTTGAAAGGCTTTGTTTCTCTTTCATTTCTAAAGGGTAGCTTTGTAGGTTTTTGGTTGGTAATCTTTTCTTTTTGGCATTTGAATATATTAGCTCGTTCTCTCCTAGTTTATGAGGTTTATCTGAAAAATCTGTTAATATAATGTTGATGCCATTGTAAATGATTGGTAAATTTTTTTATGGCTTTTGTATTTTCTTTTTGGATTATGCTTTTGACAGTCTGACTGTTATGCCTTGGCAAAGGTTTCTTTCTCAAAACTATTAGGTGTTCTTTAAGCTTCATTGGACTGGCTATCCATATCTTTTCCAAAGTTTGTGGAGTTTTGAGCAGCTATTTTGTTGAAGGTGTTTTCGGTGCCTTTATCTTCTCTTCAGCTTCTGGCATACTGGTATTATGATTGCTTGCTGACAGTGACATACTGTTAAGTCTTGAATGTTTTCTTTGTTCTGTTTCTTTTTCATGTGACTATGTTACTTCACAGTACCTGTCATTAAGCTCAGAAATTACTCAGCCTGATCACTCATGCACTGAGGCTCACAGCCATATTTTTAAATTTTCATTTCTGAAGTTCTTTAGCTCCTAGATCTGTCTGTCTGTCTTATCTAGCTATCATCTATATATATTTTTTTATTTTCTTCCTTTCATTATGTGTATGCATATGTACCTGCTTGTCTGTCTGTGCACCAGGTGAATACAGGTGCCTTCAGAGGCCAGAACAGGATGTCACATCTGGAGCTAGAGTTAAAGGCAGCAAGCTGCCTCATGTGGGTGTTAAAAATTGAACTTGGGTCAAGTGCTCTTAACCACTGAGATCTGTCTAGCCCTGAGCTCCAAGATATCTAATTGTTTTTTTTGTAAGCTATTTACTGAGTTTCTTATTCATACCACAAGCTCTTTGTAACTTCAGTGAAATGTCTGTGTTTTCTTTAATCTTGTTAAGTTTATTTAAAATCATTCTTCTGAATTATGTTTCAGGCAATTCATTGCTTTTCTCTTTTCTGTGGTCTATTATTAGAGAGTTATCCTTTGTGAGGTATCGTATTGCCGTGTTTTTCATGTGTGGTGCAATCTTGATGGGTTAGCTACTCCCAATTATGTAGAATAACTTCTGCAGGACAAAAGTTTATACTTCCAGTGTGCCCTACAGTACTGGTTGGATAATGCCTTGGGTTTGGTTTCCGATGACCATTTAATTGCAGTGTACATATTAGGAGTTTTTGGTTTTGCTTTAAACTTGTAATAAACACTGATGATGTCTGTATGTCATTGGGTGGGCTGCAAGGGTTTGGCAGTCTGTATGCAAATCTCTTAAGTAAGGAAGGTTCCCTGGCAGCTCTGAGCCATACTGTGTGTGACTTCATTGTGGAGGGCCATCAATTTCCATGGTCATTTAAGGACAGGACCACCCCAGTTGGCTCAGGTGGATGTGTCACAGTTTGTCCACTACTAAGGTAGGGTTTCTGTCAAGGTCTGTGGCCTGCATTAGAGGCAGGCTGCACCAATGTGCAATTCAAAACACCTGTCAGTGCCCGAGGTCTGCCTGGGTGACTTTGCAGAGCTGTGCTGCTGAAGAAAAGCCTTCTAGCTGGTTCCAAAGGCTGAAGTGTTGGGTGAGTGGAGCCAGATGTTTGTTTTTTACAGCTACAGTCACTACAGTTCCTGAGCAAGGCTGTTCAACTGCCAGCCCCTCCCTCCCTCCCTCAGCCTGCCACCCCCGCCCTCCCTCCCTCCCTCCCTCCCTCCCCTTATAGATCTCTCTCTCTCTCTCTCTCTCTGTCTCTCTCTCTCCATCCTTCCCTCTTTAATACTATTTATAAATAACAGTATTTTGAGTTTTTTATGTTTCTTTTGTTCCTCAACAGTGGTATTTGGAAATACATATTTTGAGCTTGTGTCTTGTGCTTTGTTAAGCTAATTTATTCACTCTGGGAGCATTTCTTTTTCAGTATTCACAGTTAAAAACAAATAAACATATTTTATGCCATTCCAATATTATAATATTTTGTTTTTTAATGGTAGTCACTTCTAGGATTGTGTGAATAAATAAGAATTGTGAAAGAGGAAACTCTTTGACTTTTTTTGAATATTAGGTGAAAAGCAGCCTTTCACTTATTATGGTAAGTACAGTTTTTGTCATTTCTCTGGTAAAAGAAATTTACTTCTACTAGTGACAAATTTATTATGCTGCATTTTGTAAAATGATTTCCTCACATCTATTACATGATTCCTTCCATTTTATTCTTTAATATGATATTCTGTATGGATTGATTTTTAAGTGTTTAACCCTTACCTTCCTCTTCTGGAAAAAATCCTGCTTGGCAATGAGTTATTTTCTGATGGTATATTGCTAAATTCTCTTTCTCAGTATTTTGTTTGCTTGTTTTCTGACAGGGTCTCCCTAGTCCTAGCCTACCTGGATGTCACTATATGGACCAGGCCAGCCTAGATCTCAGATCCACCTTCCTCCCCTGCCACCATCACCCCCAGGGCTGGGAGTAAAGGCTCCTGCCTCCACCATGCCAGGCTCTTTGTCAGTCTTTGAAAGAAAAAATTTTTTTTCAAGTTATGTTGTTCTTTCTCTTTTGACATGGATTTGACTTTTTTTTTGGCGGGGGGGAGTTTCTTTTAGAGACAGGGTCTCCTGTAACCCTTGCTGGCACTCGCTATAATAGACCATGCTGGCCTCAGTCTCACAGACATCCATCCACCAAGGGCTGGGATTAAAGGTGTGGGCCCTACACCTGGCTCTGGGGTCTGTTGGCCATGAGAGCTACTTACTTCTGCCAGTTATATTCAGGGGAAGCTGCTTTGCTCACTTTCATTACTAGAGAAACGTCCTCACTTTTGCCTACTGTTTCCTTACTTGGTGTATCTCCAGTCTTCATGGAATTTATTTCTCTTGTTTGTGTTGGTCTACTATTAGAGCAACAGCTGTTAGGAGTTATTACATAATCTCTAGAAAGAGACTCCTATTTTGAGTTTTGTGGAAGAATACATTGCTTATAATTTTCATGTCCTTTGTGGTTTCCATCATGTGCTCTTTCTTACTGTGCATTTTCATCAATTATTTTTTGCACAGAGTACATTTCTCTCTTAGGCTTCATCCTGAGAAAAATGTTTATTGTTGAACTTCATTGATGCTGCTATAAGCTGAGCTAGTTTGATCAGTTTTCTTCTGGTACTTTCTTCAACAGCATTCTTATGTTGGGTGCATCTCCCTCCTTGGCTCATTTAACTTCTCGGACAGCCCTATCATAAGTTCTTTATTGTATCTTAAATGTTTTTGCTTTTCTGTGCATAGAGGATACAGATACTTTTTTTTCCCCTTTGGCTTTAATGAAAGTGCTGCCCTGTTGCTCTAGTTGGAATTTCTCTATAAATACATGATTATCATACAGTTTAAGTGTTAAAATCTAGTTTTCCAACAGCTTCAAATATCGTCTCTAATTTCCACAGACTTTCCTTTAGATACCATTAATATTTCTATATATTAAAAATTCTGTTGAGTCACTTAGAAATGAGTGCTGTCTCTTTAATCATCCCACATTTATTTATATTTGAAGTTTTGAAGTAGTTATGTTAAACATTCTCTAGAGTTAATGATTTCTCTGCATTGATATTTCTAACACTTATTTTTTTAAATTGTCAGTACAGAAATAAATAGGTACTATAGGAAGAAGCTACAATAATTTTGCTTTTGTAAAATCTTGTGTCAAAAGATATTTATTAAAAAACTCCAATATGGATGTTTTTGGAAACTTTATTAATAATTGTCAAAAATGAGAAGCTGCCAGTGTGTCCTTCAGTAGGTGAACAGAGAAGTATCCACACAATGGAGCAGTAAAAATACATGAGCTGCCGAGCTCATGAAGAAAGACATGAAGGACCTGAAGGACCTGAAATACAAGTAGTTAAGTGAATGGCTCTAGTTGTAGAGAGCTGTGCACTTTATGATTCCAACTGTATGACATTCAGGGGAAGGCAGAATTATGACAACAGCACAAAATAGGGGCAGAAGGAGGAAGAGTGAAAGGTGGAAGACCAGTGTTTACAGTACAACCATCTCTGATGTAATGGTAAACGGATGACATGTATTATTAAAATCCATAGACCTGCAGAGCACAAACGGTGAATCCTAGGAAAAGCTGTGGTCTTCAGTTAATAGTAGTGTCTTAAAACCTGTTCATCAGTTATAACTATTGCATACCATTTCAAGGAATGAACTGGATATGAGGAACCGGGGGAGATCGGGGTATAGTACTGACAGCTCTTTATGTACTATTTTGTTGCAAGCCTTAATTTTTCTAAAATGTGTAATATATAAAATTTAAAAGATAATGATTCCTAATAAAGAGCTCATAAATAAAGTAACCTTGTCATCTGAAGGAGGGCACTAAAGCACTTCTGAATATGTTTGGAACTTACGTTGTCAGTTTTGGTCACCTGTAGTGGTTCTTGAATTTGCCTCATTGCTGTCCTTTTTTCCTATTAGGTGTACTGGCCCTGTCTTGGTATCCACCTGATTCAAATGATGAGAATGGAGAAGCTACTGATTACTTGGTACCAACTATTTTGGATAAAGCTCATAAATATAATCTAAAGGTATTTAACTTATTTCAAACTATACAACTCTTGTCCAAATTGTAAGATATCCCTCAACCGTTTTTCTAATCATGTTTTATATTTATGTATTTATTATATATATAGATTTTATTTTTTGAGACAGGTCTTACTGTATAGCCTTGGCTGCCCTGGAACTCACTGTCACGTCAGTTGACCAGACTCACAAAGATTCACTAGCGTCTGCTTCCCAAGTGCTGGGCATATACCACCATGCTCGGCCTTTATTACGTGTTTTAATAGGAAGAGAAAGAATCTTGCAAGGTTCCTTGGTGAACAGAATGTAGAAATTAATGAAATTAATGTTTATCTTAAATGTCAAAAAATACTTTTAAAAAGTATCTTTAATTACATAGCATTATATCTTTATAAAGTAGTTAGAAAATTTCTGCTCAAATATTTTTTCAAAACCAGATTCTATTTAAACCTTATTTGACATCATACCTATGTACATTTACAGTGCAAATGAAAGTCTGCAGACACTTGTAAAATCACATCTATTCTACTCAGTTTTATCACAAGGGAGAAAACATTTCTCCCATTCTAAAAAATTTTTTTTTCTTTAAAAAATTAGTCTTGGAAACCAGTAGTTGTAATGGTTAAATGGAAATATACTGAATACCAAAAAATTAACCTTTGTCTTAAAATCTAGACTAACTTTTGAATAGTTGGTGCTGTATATATAGCAATACCAACCTTAGTGTGTCCCTAACTAAACTAGTTTCTGCATTCTCAGAGTGAAGCACGGAAAAGCCAATTAAAGCAGAGCAATTTTTAAAGTTTTTTTGTTGAGCTTTTGTACATTTCAGCAGTTCTTAATCCAATTCAAACCCCCTTCCCCATCCATATCCTCCCCACTTCCACCCCCCACCAGACCTCATGTATTCCCCGATACATCTTAAGTCCTATCAGTCAAGCATTTGTGCCCAGATGTCCTTCAGTGCAAATTCATCCACTAGAGTCTAGTCAACCTCTGTAGCAATCATTGGTATGGCCTACTCTCCCTCACCCAATAGTGATCAGTCTCCCGTAGTTCCCAGACTGGGGCAGACCCACCACCCATGTCCCTCACTCCACTCTGGGCCCTTATTTAATTGTGTTGGCATGGGTCCTGTGCTCGATGCCACCACTGCTGTAAGTTCATATGTGAAACTTTCCAGTGGCCTGAAAGCCCCTGTTAAGCAGAGCAATTTTAAAGTCTACAGTTGTTAAATCTTGAAATGCAACATTATAATTAAAATACATTTCCTTTAAAGAAAAAATGAAAAAGATATAAATAGCACTGGTATTACATTAATAAATGGAAGGTAAAGGAAAGGGTGGTTAAGGATGAAATAAAAAATAAAAACTGAATTCAGATTGGATCTGTAATGTAGCAGCATGGGAGACTGAGGCAGGAAAATCACAGATTTGACAAACTGGACAAAATAGTGAAACTCTATCTCAAAATAATTTTAATTAAGTAGAAAATTAGTCAATTCATTATAATTTTTTCTTATACCCTGGGGGAAAAAATAAATCGGCAAACCACCGGCAGGACTGAAAGTGCACAGGACGGAGGTAGTGCAGCGTCAGAGATTAAAGAGGAGACTGATCTGTAGGTACACAGGGCGGAGGTAGTGCAGCGTCAGAGATTAAAGAGGAGACTGATCTGTAGGTACATGGGAGTTGATAAATTTATCAGCATTTTCTGAAATTGATCTGAAAAGTTGCATAGGAAGCTACCTCCCCCCCCATATTTTTTTCTGTACAGAAATCAGTTTCATAAATTTGAATGATTAATTCTCCTTGAAAAATACGTACAAAGCAATTTAGCAGATGTCTTCCCCAAAGTACCAGTTCTGTTCTCTCAGTTTTATTCAACCTTTGAGAAACAGCTAATTCCTGTGACATAAAGATACTGATATTTTTAGGATGTACATTTTGGAACATCAAACAATAAGTATTTGCTATCTCACAATCTTAAAATAATTTCTAAGGGTCAAAAATCTGTAAAGATCTTCAGTAGGCCTGTCTGGATCCATGTCTCGCAAAGATTTCTGGGAACTATTGGCTACTGCCTCAGTCACCTAAGACTAGAGAATCCAGATCTCAGCCTTGCAAGGTAGTAGCTGACAGCCTGAGCCTCAGTTCCTTGCAGCTGATGGATTAGAATCTTTTTTTCTTTTTTTGCGGGGGATCTTTTAAGACAGGGTCTCCCTGTAGCCCCAGCTGTCCTGGAACTCACTATGTAGACCAGGCTGGCCTTGAACTCACAGAGATCTGCCTGCCTCTGTCTCCCGAGTACTGGGATTTTAAGTTCTAGCCTTTTGTTGCTTGAATTCCAGTCTCCTTAGGCCATGACAGATAGCTTCCCCAGAGTAAGCAATGATTTGAGAAAGAGTGCAATGTGCTTAAGTTGCAGTCTACTTTGACCTAGTAGCAGAAGTGACTCATCACTTCTGCCTTGCTCTGTTAGATTATCTACTGATACAGCAGCCCTGGTGTGATATGGAACGGCACTACATAGTCTGTGATGACCAGGAAATGAACATCCTTGGGTGCTATACTGTAACCACAATAAATGTTCTAATTTATTCTATAATGGTAATACAACTGCTATTCAGAACTGATCCAGGAGAGCATAGAAACTTTTCACAAATGAAAGTAGTTGCAAAATTCCTAAAGAAAACTTACATAAGAAGTGTTTATTCATCACCTATGTTCACCCAAGAGTATGCGTTCTAAGTCCAAGCTATGTTCAAATCTGGGTCAAAGACTATGTATGTATATATGTAGCTTGTTATGCAGCTTGTGTACCTCTATTCCTAATGTGGAAATAGTGGCAGATCATACCATGTAAAATGCTTATAAAAAGGATATAGCTGGGCGTAGTGGTGCACACCTTTAATCCCAGCACTTGGGAGGCAAAGGTAGGAGGATCTTTGTGAGTTCAAGGCCTGCTTGGTCTGCATAGTGAGTTCCAGGACAGCTGGGGCTACAGGGAGAACATGCCTCAAAAAGACCAAAAAAAAGAATATATAAATCATTAGAATTGGAGTATGGCATAGAGTAAGCATAACGTTAGTGTTAGTTAAGAAAACGTCACTGACTGTTTAAAAATGAACTTGAACTTGATAATCTTGATGGACACCATAAATTTGAGGAAATAGAATTTAGGACTAATAAAACTCATAGTAAACAAAATTCTTTAAACCAGTAAATGATCTTTTAGTAACATATCAAGTGCCATAGCTGTTGGAAAAACCAGAAATAATAGATAAAAATGTCATCAGTAGATACACTAAAAAATCCTCGGTGTTGTATTTCACTTAATACAATAATCTCTAGATATGTCTGTTTTTCTGAAAACAACCTAACTTCAGTCTTCTTTCTAGCTAAAGAAATTTCCACTGTGTATTTATGTGAGTTTTTCTTTATTCATTCATGTGTTGACAATTAGTCTGATTCTCTGACTTGACTTTTGTGGTAGGTCTATTTTATATTCCCTGAAGACTTGCCATACTGATTTCCATAGTGACTGGACTCATTTACATTCCCATCAGCAGTATGCAGGAGTTTCCTTGTTCCTGAATCCTTGCCAGCATTTGCTGTTATGCTCTCTTAATGATAGCCATCTGACTGGAATGAAATGGAATCTTAATGCTGTTTTAATTTTCATTTCCCTGAAGACTGAGCCTGTTGAACATTTTTTTTTTTTTTGTATGCTTATTGGCCATTTCTACTTAATCTTTCGGGTACTGTCTATCATTCTCTTAAGACATTGATTCAGTGTGTGTATGACTTTTTTGGTAATCTTTTGTGTAATATTCAGAATATTAGTCATCAGTTAGATATACACCTTTCAAAGATTCATTTCCCCTACTCTATAGGCTATCTCTTTGACTGATTGTTTACTTTGCTGTGCAGTCCCGTTGTTCAGTTACTGGTTTTGTTTCCTGAGCTGTTGGAGTTTCTTTTCAGGAACTTGTTGCCTATGCATTTATCTTAGAGATTTCCCCCCTTTGTTTTCTTCTAGCAGTTTCAGAGTTTTGGGTCTGACATTAAAGGTCTTTGATTCCTTATGTATTGATTTTTATACAGGGTGAAAGATAAGGCTCTAATTTTGTTTTTCTGAGTGTATGTCTAATTTTGCCAACACCATTTGTTAAGAGGCTATGTTTTGACCTAGGCCTGGTGTGTACACCTTTAATCCTAGCACTCAGAAGGAAGAGACAGGTAGATCACTGTGACATTGAGGCCAGCCTGGTCTACATAGTAAGTTCCAGGCTACCTCGGGCTATAGGGAGACAAAACAGAACAAAACAATGTATATTTTTGTCACCATTGTCAGATATCAAGTGGCTATATCTGCACATGCTTTTTCTTAGGTCCTCTGTTTTACCCCACTAATCTACCTGTTTTTAATTTTTGCTGGTACTGTACTGATTTTATTAAAATGGTTCTTTTTGCTCAGGATTGTTTTGGCAATTAAGGGTCTTTTCTGCTGCTCTGTGAACTTTAGTTCTGTGAAAGTTTCCCTTGCAAATTTGAAGTGGATTGTGTTTAATCTGTAAACTTATACATATAATCATTTTTACAATAGTAATTCTTCCAATCCATGAACATGGAAAGTCATTTTATCTTCTAATATCTTCTTCAGGTTCCTTATTCAGTGTTTTAAAATCTTTAAAAGTAGAAGTCTTTCAGTTTCTCAGTTTGGTTTATTCTAAGGAATTATATTTTTTGAAGCTATTATAAATAATAGAGTTTTCCTGATTTCTTTCTGAGCATGTTCTTTATTGGTATATAGGATGGCAGCTGATTTTGGATGTTGATTTTATATCTTGATGCTTTGCTGAAAGTTTTTATCAGGTCTAGGAGTTTTTTTGATGGAGTCTAGAGGGTCTTTAATATTTAGGGCCATGCCATCTGCAAGTAGGAAAAATATTAATTCTCCCTTTCCTGTTTGTATCCCTTTTATAACTTTCTTTTGTCTTATT